GCATAGTATAGGATTTTATGTACAGGTGTAGTTGCTTTGCCGTTCTAAATCCTACACAATGAGCAATGACAATGATAATGGACCATTATCATAACCAAACTGGAGTGATATAAAACCTTGGATGTACACAATGTAACAGCAGCAAAAAGTTTATTTTTTACAATATTCGTGTTTATCTTAAAGCCATTATGTGTAGCACTTTGAAAGTTTTAAACTAAGGGGGGCCCCAGTGGAGACCTGAGAAGGCACTTACTGTAAGTAGTGCCGCTGAAAATGAGCCAAAACCAAGACATAGACCATGTCTTTTTTTATCAAGGAAATTTTTAAAGACAAATTTATGATATTTTCACAAAACATGACTACAAATTCACTTGGCTTGGTATTACAGTACTACTGCAAAAGTTGGAATTTTACAAAAGAAACAATTTGTAGTTCAAATATGTGCAATGCCTCATTATCCAAGTAAATTCCATAGCAACAAAGGGTTTCAAAAGGTAGTCCTCTGGTTCTGAGTTAAAGATGTTTCATCTCATTAAAGAGGCTTTTGTCACAAGAGATCAAACATCAGCTCAAGATCTCTACATGAACTTTCTGAAGCCTTTTTGTAGTTTAAATTTATTTGTATTTTAATAGTTATAATCTGTCACCTGTGCTCAAAATGTTGACCACGTTGTCATTTTACAAAAAACATCATCTTTACTATTAAATTAAATGATGGATTAGATATATTTTTAAGAAAAAAGTTCAATTGTCGATCCTATTCTAATTTCTTGACGTAAGACTGTACATGGACCATCACTGCCCTGCCATTAATAAAAACCAGATGACCAGGAACGCAAACGGGAAAATAGGAGGCTGTAGTGGCGATCTAAAGTGCTTTTCTGGTATGCTGATTGACCTGTGAATGAAAAGCTGCAAGGCATATGACATCTTGGTTCCTGAAGTTTTAAATGGAATTAGTCTGCACCTGCATGCCCCATGTTATTCCTAGTGAGCGAGGTTAGCAGGAGGCCACCAGACAACCCCTGCCAGTCTTTTCAAGTACTGTCATCGACACACATGCTACTGCCGCTGCCTGTCGACCAATCACACGACTCACCAGCTCTGCACCTCCACCAATCAGGCCTTTACTTTGATAGTCAAGCCAGGGCAGATTCTCCCCAGGGATTGGATAATGCTTGAACACCCTGCCCCCCCCTTCTCCCCCCACCTGTGTCCAGCCTCTAAGCTATGACCCTGTGGTGAATATAGTGTGTATTGTGTGTATGTGCGTGGATGATGGCCAGACTGTTAACTATATACTCACTATTCAGGATTGCTGGTTATTATCATACTTGCCTTTTTATTCCAAGGTTGTATTTTGGTTGGGCTATGTCATGGAGACAGGAGGTGGGCTGGCAGTTTTCCCAGCATTCCCAGCGCTCCGAAAGCAAAAACGCACCAGAGTTTTATTTCCTTTCTTTTAAAGAGGAGATCCAAACCGCACCTCCCTCCATTTTATAATCACTGTGCTACAATGCAATCCTACATAGAAGTGAATGACGATACCAGTAACATTTGTTGTCAGAGTATGTGAAGCTATGGAAAGGACGTAGCCCTAACACTGTACTTAGGTCACAGATCACTATGTATGGCGTGTTATGCTTTTGCTCATAACTCCATGTAAAATGAAGAATGATATTGTCTTTTTTTTCCTTTATCTGATTGTGTGTACATTGACATTATTGTGTATTTTCTTTGGTTTGCCACAAATGACCTTTTATATAAAAATACCACAATATATACAGTATTAAATTAAGCTGTTTTTTAAGAGATCAAACTGGATTTTTGGCATTTGTCAAATTTCTAAACAATACTTGCACATATAAGCTGACAACCTGACAGGAGCGTCAAATTCCGCTGGTATCTTTGTTTCAAAATCCTATACTTTCTGGCTGTACCGGTGTCTGACCATTATTTTGTAGGAGACATTCAGTAATGTGTAGGCTATGACTTTCTACACATAATGCACACACAGGTGGAATAACATAGCACAGGCACCATTTGGAAATAGTCACTGACACTTAGTAGAACAATGTATGCTGTAGCTGAAACACTAGTTCAGTTTGTCCATATATTCTGATTTCAAGGTGCATAACATTGTATTCATTCATAAGAGCCTATTTTTGCAGCAGGTGCCTATAACAGTCCTTAATTTCCATCCGTCCACTGCATTGACTGTAGAGCAAGTTCCTACATTGCACAGAAGTCCCATCAACATTATGGGTGCAACAGAACCTGACTCAGCATTGGTGGAGCTATTCTTTGGGCTGAAGTCATCATAAGCTTGAGAAAATATTTCAGGGAAAGAAAGGAAAAAAACAGTGCAAATAATAACCCTTGTTCATTTTCAAATATTCCCACTGTGCTTTGCTTCATTCTATATACATCTGTATGGCTCCTGGATCTACATTGTATCCTGATCAGGTATTTTTGTACAAATAAGGGACTGATATATTATCTGTATTGGAACTTAGAATAAAGGACAAAATTGCTATAAACCAAAAGATTTAACTTGTGTTTTCTTTCAACAAGTTGATTGTATATGGACATCAGATGTTACATAATGATAAAAAAAATATAATCTAACGGTAACAAAAACATACACAATGTTATTTGTGGATTTGTACTGCCACCTGCTAGAATTAATGAGAAGTGCAATACAAAGTATTCAGAGTGCTTTGTGGAGAAGGCTACATATTCAGGGTCATAATTTTTCCCTATTTAAGCAGACTGGCCAAAACAAAGTTCAACACAGACTGTGTCTTAAAGCTACCATCTGTAGCCAGAATGGTGACCCATCCCTGTTGTATTCTCATATATCACCACTAGATGTCATCTATGTGTCTGTCTGATACTGTACCAGCTCTGGCCTGGCAGAAGACCGTCTGAGATCACAGGTAAACAAAAGCCAGGTGAAGGAAAGGGGAACAGGTTTCACATCTGCCATTGACTTAAAACAATTAAAACTAGAAAAGCACTCAGAGAGCGCAGACCTCTGCCAAGGACTACCCCCATTTTTTATATAAATTGCGATAAAATCAGTCTTTTGGATCAGATCCGGATCAGCCTTTGGAATATGAAAGAGGATCCCATTGTCCATCCCTGAGTCAAATTTCATGGGGTTTGGTCAATAATTAACCGAGATATTGAGAAACAAAATTTTTGGCCCCATTTACCACAATGTTAACTAAAATTTCAACGTGATCCAGAATCCAGGATTTCTTCCGGATCACCCCCAAAATGAAATCAGTTCTTCCTTTTCACATTTCCAACAAATCCTGAAAATTTCATCACAATCCATAACTTTTTGAGTTATGTTGCTAACAGACAAACAAACAAACGCCGGCAAAAACATAACCTCCTTGGCGGAGGTAACTAGGATGGTGCCCCATTTCATAGGGATGAGGGTACTGCCTCCCTCGGGCTTGTGTAGCCAAAACAAAACAAAGAATGGTAAAGAAATAGAAAACAAAAAGTCAGATGTGTTCAATAGTTTTAATTTCCAAATAAATGATGACAAAATGAGAATATTTACAAGTGGAAAATATGATCTGTACAAAAATATACATGCAAAGATTAAAAAACATGTAACTTAAACACTGAGAAAACAAAATAAAACCTAAACTGTTGCATTCAGTTTAAGTTTGCTTGTTTGAATGGCATCTGCAATAATAAATAAAGTTTCAGTGAATCATCCCTATCAGATTAATTTATATTTTTGAGTAAGTTTGAGAATTGGCTTTATTTACAATTTTAAGCATGAACAGAAATGCTCTAATGACCAATGGTGTTATTTAACTAGTGTAAACAGCAAGGTCTTAGTAAACCCAAGTGAAACTAACACAGTTTGTATCAAGTACTATAAAGCTTGAACAACTTTGGTGTACCAATACTACGCAGGCATACAGGGCAAAAATGATACATTAGTTTTGATCACATTGTGATGATCCAGAGGGTGACCTGTAATAAAAGCCCGGCCTTGAACTCATAAAAACGAGATCAAATAAACACAAACTACTATAGCAGTGCTTGCAGTACCAAGTACGTGCTTTTCTATAGATTTATTACAGATACAACAGATGTCTTCATAAATAGTTGCATAAAATGTTAAAGCCGCAACATTGCACATGATAAACTTAACATACAATGAGTGCATTTACAGTATCAGTCTTCTTCTGCCTTCACATTCCCCCTGTGATTGGCAATGAGCACTGCCATCAAGGTTTTATCCAGAAACTGCTGCTTTGAGGGAAGAAGGCATCTGTCTATTTACAGATAAGGCCTGAACATTTCCAGACTGCTCAACACAAGGTTAGTTCTATTAAAAGCAAATGGCAAATGTCCATTGTTTTGTTATTAATGTTAGCGCAGCCATTAAAAGCTCTGAGTGCACGTACAAATGTCTATTATTGTCTTCAGGATATGATGAGTCAAAGTAGCACAGCAACTCCTGACATTTGCATTCTTCTTGTCCTGAAAGACAGTACTTGTTTTCCTATATATAGTTTCTATAAGAAAGTTTGTACTTAAGTAAAAAGAGCTCAACACAGTTTCGTTCTCTTTCTCCATAAGGAGGCAGTAGGCATTTTGCTTTGATGGCATCACTTTGTTCTAATAGCTCCACATCTGTCCAGTGGCATCTGCCAATTCAAACTGCTCAGTTTTATTTCTTAAAAAATAAATTACTTCATTTTTTCTTTTAGTCCTTTGTTACCTGACAAAATATGTTGTTAAGTGTTAGCAAGCAGCAGTAGATAAGAGCATCTGTTGCAGGAGAGAACTTGGTTCTCAAGGGCTCTGACAAACTTTAAATTTAAGGTGAGAGGACTACAGGCCTGAAATGTTGGTCAGTGAAAAAGATCAGATCAGCATTCATTATTTATTATGGACATTTAATCTCTAGATCCATAGGTCCACAACCTGTGCACTGAATTAACACATACGTAGACCTGTGCTGCAGATCTACAGGTGGATTGAAAGGGCTTGGGCCAGAGGAAATAGATTAGTGAATCGATAGTGTCAAACTCTGGACTGAAGACGACTTTGAATAAAGCTTCGGACTCCTCCTATGGGGCGGGCATCAGTTAGATGTTTCCTCCGGTCCATGAAGGCAATGAGTCGGGAGGTGTCCAGACAGAACTCTCCCTGGGCCTGGCTGCCCGGCTGGAGCCATGGCTCCTGGAGGCACAGTCCCGCTGGAGGCCTCCTGCCTGGGTCAGTCCTCAGCAGCAGACACACAAAGTCCCGAGCCGCCTGTGTTACGCCATGGAAGTAGTCTCTGGGGAAGCTGAAGTCCAGTCGACAGATGTTCAGACAGGTCTCCTCTGCACTCTCATCCAGGAAAGGAGATGCGCCGCTCAGCAGCACATATGTCACCACACCTAGACTCCAGAGGTCAGAGGTCAAAGACACTGGCTCGCCCAACACTAATTCTGGGGACGCAAATTCAGGACTGCCCAACAGGGGGTGGATGTAGTGTGCACTGTTGAGCTGGATAGCATCTCCAAAGTCTATGAGTTTGACCACTGGCTGGCCAATGGGGCTGTGGGCCACCAAGAGGTTCTCAGGCTGAAAACAAAACAGACATTCATTTTATTATGTCAGTTTATTTATTTACCAATATATAATATTTACTCTTTGAATAATTGAATATAAATTACTTGCCTTTATGTCCAAATGCACAATCCTACAGTTGTGCAGGTAGTGTAAAGCTTCTAAAACATCCCGCAAGAAGCTGGCAACTCTCTCCTCAGTTAGATTCCCACAGCGCACTATGTAGTCCAACAAGCGGCCCTGATCGACTCTGTGCAACAGAGACAAGCATGCGCCACAACATATGACCAAAAAGTAAAAATACAAATATGACAAACTTGTGTGAGGCATGACTACTCACATCTCCAGAACCAGCGTGTAGCTGCTGTGGGATTCATACGTGTCTATAAGGCTGACTATGTTGGGGTGTTGTAGCCTATGAAGGAGACTGAGCTCTTGGGTCACCCTGTCCCGTCGCATCAGTTTCTTGTTCACTTGTTTAACAGCAGCAGCACACTTTGTACCTTTGTGTTCACAACGCTTCACAACAGAGAAGCGACCCCTGGGAAATGTTTAAAACACAAGAGACAGTCAGTTCTGTTCAAGCATACTCTTTGTATAAGATTATTTTCCTGAATTTACCTGCCAAGTTCAGACACTTCAGCGTAATGAGACTCAAAGTTGTCCTTCCAGCTCACCCTGACACCATCCCTGGACACAGCTGAAGACATAATAGGACATTATACAGATGACACATCCTCATTTGGTTTACACTGTTAAATTTAATCTTACCAAGGACTCTGAGATTGGCTGTGGATGTTACAGTACCAAGTTCATTTGTGGCAACACAAGTGTAAAGTCCATCATCGTCAGAATCCACACCAATAATCCGCAGCGTGGCTTCACCTGCATCACTATAACAACAATAAAACACATAACTTACTACTTAGTCATTCTGTGTAAAACATGTAACAATATTAAAATCTACTGTATTCTGTTTAAGACCTAATTATTTTCAGTAAAGTTTTGGATGTCCATCAGAATTCGGATATTTTTATGGTTGTTACCTGTAAGCAATGCTGAAGTGTCCATTGTTGGTCAGGGTGCTCTGATTGGGACCTTTCCAAGTAAGGGAAGCCCGGGGTCGACCACAAACTTTACACCTAAGGGTGACGCTCTCTCCATTGTCACAAGTCACATCACTCAGTGGAACAAGAAACTCAGGGGGAACTGAACAAAGACAACTTTTAGAAACTTTAAGTAACAAGTGCTATACATATCTTAAAATACAAAATATTCTTACCATCATAGATATAGTTGGGATTTAGAAGCTGCAATAGGATATGCAGAACCATTTTAGGGATAGAATCATATGTTGAAGTAAACTAATAAAATTGATCTTATTTTAGTACTTTTACCTTTACAGATACTTTGTTGGACTTCCTGTAACCATTTTCCAGCTTGGTTTCCTTTTTGGCCTCTTTATCCTTTTTTTCAGACTTCTTACGGATGCGTAATGATGTGTGCCAAGAGGAAGATTTTCTACTGACAAAAAAACAAAACAAATCAAACAAAAAAAAACATCACTTCAAATTTAGAGAGAAAACTATTAACAAGATGAGAAATATATGCCATCAGTCTAATGTGTCTCCTGTTATGCGTGATGTCATGTCTTACTTGACAGATCCCTCGGGGCACTCTGGGACAGTGGCAGAGGTGTGTCCAAGCACAAATCCAGGAATCCAGCCTTCAGCAGCGGGGCCCTGCTCAGTCGCTGCCCTGAAAACCAGGAACATGTTTTGCTGGTTGCTGGCTAAGATCTGGACCACCTCTCCCTGTGAAACGCTGATCTCATCCTCCTTAACAGCCATGTAGTCCTGAGTCACCAACATTGTGGATACGCTACTGCTGCTGCTGCTTTCACTCTGCAAAATACAAGAATACAGATTACTGTTACAATTCATATGCATACATGTACAGTAAGTGAATGCAGTAGTGAAATCTTAATCTTGAACATTTATCAAGTCTAAAGAACAGTAATCATTTTCATTTGATGAAAGAAACTAAAGGAAAAGATGCAATTTTTTTTTTTACTGCCTTTGCCTTTTACTCCCACACAAAGATGAGAGGCAGCAAGGTTCAATGATTTGTAAGGACACGTTTGAGGGCAAAACCACAAACGTTGGCGTTAGTTGCAGAAAAGTACATTTGAAGTGTTGAGTATGAAATCATGAAGACAGCAGGAGGTTAAGGGCGGCCAAAAGGGAGTCAGGGGTTAGTAAAAGCTTTGTTAGAGAAAGTCATCTACAGAGAGCCTTGACCGAAGCTGTACAAAGCTAATCAGAGGAGAGTCAACCCGAAATCAGTTAAGTGCAGACGGCTGCGACAGACAGTCGAGTGAAGAGAAGTAGAAATGATCAGTAGGGACAGATTAGTAGCACTGGCTTCAGCAGGCAGACAGGACAGACCAGGGCTCACTGTGCCTGTTAGTTGGAGCAGCAGGGGGCTATAGTCTTACCCCATTGCTCTGGGTGGACTGGATGGACTGCTCGCTGGCAGAGGAGCATGTACTCATGCGATCAGCGTCCTTGCTGTGGGTGGAGTGTCTGTGGGACTGATTTTGGCTCCCAGATCCAGAACCAGCCTGGACCGGATTTGAATTCTGACGCACTGGAGTCTCTCCCGTTTCCCCAGGGAAGGTGAACGAGCCAGGCCGGCTGGCTGGGGAAGCTGGCATGGAGCTCCAGAAACCTGGTCCAGACTTGTGACCAGGGCTGGGAGGGGGCGCTACCTGGGCTTCTTTGCCAAAAGCAGGAGTGGCCATTGGTGAGGCCATAGGGGACACGGCTCCAGGCCGAACTTTGGCAATGGGTGTAGAGGGCAAGGGCCCCACTGTGGCACGAGGAAGGGGAGATACAGCACTGGCTGGAGTGTTAGCCTGTACTTGGTCCTCTGAGCTTTGACTAGAACGTTTGCTTTGTGGACTACTCCCTGAAGGGATGAGAGAGGAGGGGACAGGACGGGGTGACAAACCTGAATCACAAGTAGGTAAAACTCACACTTCAGTCACATTTTCTTTCAAAGACAAATATGTATAATCTGTGCATACTTCATACCTGACATTTTGTGGGGGCTGTCAGTGTCAGTGCTGGGGTGATGGCGTGTGGGCTGTGGTAAACGAGAGGGCTGGGGGATCCTGGATGGTCGCCGGGAGCCTCCTGGAGGACCTGAAGGGATAGAGCTAACCTGGGAGTTTGCAGCAGCAGGCAATGAGCTGCCTCCACTCAGAGCTCCCATGTTAGGAGAACAAGAGCCCACATTCGCTCCAATATGGTTCCTCTGGAACTCGATCGGTGATGTGAGTGCTAGAGAAGTTAATATTTTAGTTACAATGTTGAAGTGTTTTATGGGGGGTGCAAAATAACTACCGTATTTTACGCACTATAGGGCGCACTCATAAGCCTCCAACCCCATCAAAAAACGACTGCGAGCCCCACAATCCAGAGCACCCTATACACGAATCCACTCGGGTGTCCCAGCACGACTTCAGTAAACTACAAAACCGCACCACCCACTGCACACGCAAACATGCACAGAGCAGACAGCGATCGCACAGCGAAACACACCCGCAGCCACACAACACTCCACGCAGACGAGGAATGGAATGGAGGAACAAACCGAAAAAGTGAGTGCAATGTGCCACTTCTAGCCACAACTGAACAACTGAGTCACTGCGAACACGCCGACCATCCAGCGATCCCAGACAGCACCCTCCCTACGCGCCACAATTGAACAAAGCTGAGAGTCACTGTGAACATGCCAAACAAAGTCCAAAGTCCATCTAACTGTAGTGTTTCGTTTAATGCGCCTTATAGTCCAGTGCGGTTTATATGTGAAAAAAGTTTGAAAATAGACCATTCAATGACAGTGCGCCTTATAATCCAGAGCGCCCTATAGTGCGGAAAAAACAGTAAGCGTTTTAAAGCCTACCATTGAGGAAGTTACGTTGGCTTTCCAATATCTGACTAATTTGTAGGGTCCAGACCTCACGCACCCCGGGGTGAGCAGAGTGGAGCACAAATGATTCAATAATGCCATTCGAGGAGCGAGACGTCAGTATAAATTTGCAGGGATCACCTTCAACATTCTCCTCAAGGCCCAAACAGCTGATCTGCAGAGAAGAATGAAAAAAGACAGTTCAAGTATTGTTTTTGTATGACATTAAAAAGCTCTACTTTTCTTCCATTATCCTACCTTGATGCTGTGTTTATAGAGGAAGCCTGGCAAAGAAAAACCCTTCTTTCTGTCCAGTGGCTCACTAAAGATAACCATCTGTTCAAACAGAAAGACTCTTCTCTCCTTCATACGACCATGCAAACTGCTTTCGGGGTCAGACACCATGAAGGTATCCTGCAGCAGAAGACGGCCCTGCGCCACAATCTTCCCCTGGAGTCAAATGAATACAAAGATATGTATGAAATTATGCGAAAGAAGAGGAATGTCGTATGCTGTCCTAGTCAAAAACTCTTACGTCAAATCCCTGAAGTCGGCCTACATTCATCATATCATTGCATCTTTTTGGCACAATGCACATGACTTCCACTGCTTTCTGTAAAGATTACAAAAAGCAAGAAATTTTAATTAACAGATCTGTCTCCATAAAATAATCACTTTAAACATGTACCTCCAACTCCATAGACTCCAGCCCAGCCTTCTTAGAATATTTCAAAAGATCCTATCATGAAAATAAAAAAATTTAAAATTCTAATTTATCCCAAAGATAGATTTTAAATTTATATAAGCAGCATTATGGTCCACCTTAAGCAGTAGCTGGTATTTCATGATCCTCTGCACTGGTTTTATGAGCAAGTCAGTGATCTGCAGCCTGTGCCCAAGTCTCTGCTTTAGGTCCTACACAAAAGAGTAAACAGTCACCCTAACAGACAATATAAAATCAATAGACATTTGATTTCATCTGTTAAATACCTCAAAATAAGTGTCAAGATACTCCGAGACAATGTGCTCCGACTTAGGCTTGTTTTGGCAGTACACCACGTACATGTTTAATCTTCGCTCCTGTGTACAAATACCAAAATAACAATATTAGATAATCCAGGAACTCAAAGTGTCATAATAAAAAGCAGTGTCAGTATAAAAAGCACCAAAATATATCAAAAATTACCTGTTTTAGAAAGAGTGGTCCCAGTTTGTCAGGGTCCTCCAAACATTTCTCCAGCTCCCCAAGAAAGTAACTGAATGGGATGGTAACAGTTTTAGTTGTTTTAAAGTGATGTGTAGTTTTTTTTTAAGAGAATGTGTGCACTTACTCTTTGTGCCAATCATAGATCTGATGGATGTTTCCAAACACTATTTTGTCTTTTCCTTTCATATCGTCAGGAACACCCTCTTCCTTCATCCTGTTCATGTAGCCCTATAATAATAATAATAATAATAATAATAATAATGTTATTCTCATTTATCTGATGGGTTATAAAGAAACCACAGCTTGTCAAACCACAAAACCTAACAACTTACCTCAACAACTAGGCTCAGATCTCGAACATAATCTCGTTCTGTCTCAACAAGCTCAAGAAGGATGTACCTAAAATAATGAATAAAAACATAACATAAACATAACATTATCAAAACATTAGCATTTACTATAAACATGGTATTTCTTGAGCACATACTGTCTTTTCTTAAGGATGCTGGCCCTGCGATCATCCATTTCTTCCATGGGAGATGAAGAGGACAGAAGAGACTGGTCTGACGGGTTGCACGAGGGGGAGCTGCTATCTCCCTGTTCCACTGACAGTGAACTAGGCCGATCCTCTAGAGCCTGAACCAGTAAACTCATGGTAAGCACAAACTTAACCAACCTTTATTCTACTGTGCTATAGTTTTTCCATCTCACCATCTTGCTTTTAACCAGTTCTTCAATGGCACTAACAAGCTCTGCAGCACTGGGTGTCTCTGAACTAGATGGACGCACTGAGAGACGAGAGGAAGCCTAAGCAGAAAGGAGAAGGCAAAAAAATATATCAAGGTTGAGCACTGGATACAATCAGTTTAGGCGGGCAGTGTGAAACTTTATATACTTTGTTTTTTTTTTGTTTTTTTTCCACAATTTAAATGCAGCTGAATTAGAAGCCGTATTTTGTAAAACTTCAAAATTAGACAAGCACAGAGCATGCTTAACATCACCAAGTTAGACCTATATTAAATATTTCATATTAGTTTTGTAAGGATTAATTTAATTTCTTACACAAGCAAATGAAATGCAAGTTAAACTCAAGAATGTGTGTTATGAATCATTTACGTGTATTTACAAGGTTTTATGCAATTTTGCACAGAAAAAAATTCAATATGGAAATGGATTTTATGAAAACTGAATGGAAATGTATGCAAAATGCAAATAATTTGAAGGTAAAAATAAACTGAATAGGGTATTTTATGTGAAGATGAGCTGTAGCTAAAAAAATAAAATGCTAACAGGGATGGCAGAATGCATTACAGAATGTATGAATATACATATTGCAGGAGACTCTCACCCTTGCTGTATGTGCTTCAAGACTTTCCCCAATTAGGATTTCTGGGTGAGGTTGTGTGCCCTTGTGGCCTCGCCAGCATTTAAAGATGCCAATTACTCGCATGGGTAATGATGTTACGCACACAGGGTAAAAGGGGATGAGGACGAGCGAGGATATGAGGGATCGGGAATAACAACGGGACTGTCTTTGATTTTTTTTTTTTAAATAAGGTGTTTGGGAAGGGTTACAGTCCATATTTTGTTTTATTTTTTGAGCAGGGGTATCAAAATGTAAAGTTTAATAGAAACAAGTATTCTGATCTGGTACTGTTTATCTTATTTCTTTGAAGAATGCATTTTTAGACATTTTCTTAATGACTATAACTATGCTCAATACGTTTCCTCAATGACTCTTTCACAAGAAACAAAACCCTTTTAAGATCAAGCTCAGCTCAAGCCAGGGGAATGGCATTGAGAAGATAATTAAAGAAATGTGAAATTATAATCACCAGAAATGAAAATTTAAAACTCAATTTCTAAAACACTGTTTCCTGAAATAAGAAGAAGCTATTATTTAAAGCTGAGGAAAGAGGAAGAAGAGCATTAAGGAACTGGCTGGGGAAAGACAGAGGGAAGAGCTGGGCAGCTCAGATGGAGAGATATGGAAACTGAGACAAAGCAAAGACAGGACATAAATCAAGATAATGCTACAGCATGGCAAACGGCAAACAATACAACCAGGAAACAAAACAAAAGAGAAACAGAAATTAGTGTCAGAAGTCTCCAAGGTGTGGAGACTAGGGCCGTCTCAGACACGTCACCATGTACTGCTTAAAATGAGGGCAGACTGAAAGAAAACTGTGCCAAGAAAATATGAAAATTGTGCACTTATAAGACTGATGAATATTTTCACTGGTCCTTTTTACCTTGTCGTCCTGTGTGTCTGGTTGCAGAAGGCTATGCTGCTGGATTGCCATAGGAGGTGGTAGAGGTACAGCATCAGGGCCCTCCTCCCCTTCCTCTTCACCACAGCTCTGCATCCCGGAAGAACTAGATTTGGATAAGGTGCCACTGGACAGACCCTCGTTACGCACCCTCTGGAATTTAAACAGTAACAAGAAAATAACATTAAAATACACTTTAACACTGGGTCCTAAAAGCTCTACCAATATTATTGCAAAAAAAGAGTTCACATGATAATTGTTCACACTGACCTCTTCCACGGTCTCATCTTGTGGTGTGGCTGCACTTTCATCAGAGTCTTTCTGAGAGCCTATAGTCATCTCTCCGCTCTTCCTGACGTCACGATTCTTCTTATGTTTGGTGGCAATCTTCTTCACATGGCCGTCAGCTTTGCCACTGCTTAGGCGTCGAACCGGGCTTGTGAGCCACTTTCTAAGTGTGTTGCCTTAGAGTAAAAAAAACAACTCTTTAGCAAACCTCTGATGGAGTTAATAAAGACATTTGTTCTGGCATTTACCTGGACGTTTTGGCCCTGGTGATGTGTGTGAACCTATGCCATGATTTGGCTGAAGTGTAGCGGAGGAGCCAGGCATGATTGCATCATTACTGCACACTGACAATGTGTCTGAAAAGAGAAATCAAGTTTACACTAGTGTCTATCACATCAGCGACTTATCAACACACTAACAATGAGCATCTTTGCACCTTTGTGGTTATAGATGCCTTCCATCTCCATGGAGGATCTTGAATGTGCAATGCAAAGCATTGAGCAGGGTACCAGCCCTTCTTGAGCTGGGGAGCGGTCTGTGGTCCGGACTAGGCACCAGTCTGGTTTATCATGGCATCGCTCCAGTACCTCCACAGTCTGTCCCCGCCGCACTGTCAGCTCATTACTGTTACTGGCCATGAAGTCATGGATGACCACAGTGAGCTCACAGCCTCCAGAGAGCTGACACACAGAGAGAAGATGTGGTCAGATACAGGAGAAATCAACAGCCCACTTACATTCCTGTCAGTTTCTCACCTTGTCACTGTCCATGGTGTTTTGGGAAGTGCGGGATGCCAGTGAGATGGTGTCTGGTTGACTGCTGCCTTCGCCCTGACTGTCCAAATCCTCTCCATCCCTTCAATACAAAGTACAATGTCAAGCTTATGTCTGCTCCTCTAACATCTCTACAGTCTGTATGCTTGTATAATAATTTACCTTCTTCCTTTGTGATGTTTGACAGCTGTTGCTTTGGGTATGTGAATAGGCTCTTTTAGAGCTCCTCGCAGGTGAATGGTGCGCTCCTGGATCACCTCCCTGATGTGCTTAATCCAATCTTGCTTGTTCTCAATGTTAGATGCCTGGTGAAGGTAATATCGTGACTCAAGATTAATGTCATATTGAGATGATTTGTTATATACGTATTTTTTCCAAATAAAATTGGAAACAAAAATTTATTCAGAGATTGAAGTTGCTAAGGGCTGTGTTATGGGAGTTTGTACTCACCGTGGCGCCATGTTTGGATCCCTGACTTAGCTTTAAATTTAAAATATAAAAGGAAATTTCACTTTATTTATTCAGAATATGCTTAAGACATTAATTGTATTTGTACTGACATAAGACTTTGGTAGAGACACACAACAGGGATAAACTGCCTCCATGTGTACACCAATTAAATGAGCAACAGTAGAATGGTGTGCTTGGACATGTATATTAGTCTTTCATGAGACGCACTTCATTTAAGCACACAAAACAAGAATTTTCTGAATGGTTAGTTTGGTAGTCTACATTAGAGAAAAATAGAAGTTTGGATCCATGCTGTTCCAAAAGCTGGCAATTTTTTACATTTTCTGTAATAACAGCAATTAAGGGTTACTTTTTCAGTTAGATATCCCTTTACACCAATCGGTGCTTCTTGTCATAATAAAATTAGTGTCAGCAGCTGGTGCAAGCATGTTGACCCAGAGCATTAGAAATACAAATATCCACAGAAAAACACAGCCCCAGAAATATGCACGGTTGTTAAAGACAGGATGAAGCAGATTTTAACTGAGAGGAAGGACAGGGGAAGAGAGAGAGCTTGGAACCAGAGAAAACGGCTTTGCCAGCTGCTCATGCAGTTAAACAAGCTGTCGAGCAGAGCTAAAGCCCCTCAACAGGTGCACCAGTGAGGGGCACACAAGAGAAAGACAGAAAGAGTATCCAAAAGGGTTAAACTGATGTTTACACCATCAATACTACAATTCATCTGAAGTGGCCAAATCTTAATAGGGCATCAGTTTAACCCTGGGATTTCCACAGAGATTTAAAGAGTGCGTACCTTGAGCACAATCTTGTTATCATTTGTTGGAGTGCGTCCAACCCAGAGAGCAAATTTACATGGATCTCCTTCAACATGTTCTGTAACCCCCAACTCTGACGTCTGGAAATCAAAATTTTATTTTATTATTGTAACGTGTTCAGTAAACAAGCACATGTAAATAGTGAGAATAACTTACATAGAGCTTGCTCTTATAGATGTACTTGCCCCTGCCGTTTGAGTCCTTGACCTCCTTACTAAAAACTAGAGACATCTCAAAGAGGAAAAGATGTCGCTCACGGCCTTTTCGGATCAGCGTTTTGGGATCCCAAACTTGGAAGGAATCTTGTAGTATCAGCTCACCCTGGGAGTCTATGTTCTCATCAAAACCTGAAAAATTTTGAGTTTCATGAAAGTTAACAAAGCTAAAATATTTTCAAGAAAATAATTCAGTATGAATGTACCTTCTAGCATTGAGAGGTGCATGGCATCATTGGCTCTTTTGGGAACACTGAGCATAACTTCAAGACCATCTATAATCTCTCCTTTACCCTCTTCACAGCAGGTCAGTAACTCCTAAACATGATTAGTACACAAGGAGGCAGACATTGATGGTTGCCATATTGACAGAAGTGTCATGCGTGTAGTGGTGGTGGGGTACCTTCAGAAGAAGTTGGTACTTTGTGATTCTCTGCACAGGTTTGATTAGATATGATGAGATGGAGTTGGCGAGTCTATGCCTCTGTTGAATTTCCTGTGAACAGAATAAAGAACAAAAGGATTAGCAAACAAAACCAGTCTAAATACTGTTTGGTGCATTTAAGCTAAAATTACACTCACATCAAAGTAATTCCCAGCATGTTCCAGGATAAGCTGAGTGGAGTCTGGTTTATTCTTACAATAGTTCACATACATCTGGAACTTGTCAGCCTGGTAAAGAAGATACATTAGATTAGGTTGTTGACAAAAATAAAAAGTAGATCCCCAAAAAATACCAGGCTGGGAACAACAGTACATACCCATGTGACAAAACAGTGGCCGACATCTTCTGGCAGCTGCTCATACTTTTCCAGCTCTTTGAGGAAGATGCTACAATGGGAATAATTTACAATTCAAATCTGTTGACTTTCCATATGTAAAAAGTACATTCTGTGCTATTATGCAAACATCTGTTGTAGTATTTATGAACATGGTCTTACTTATGGTGAAATTCATAAAGGTCCTGCATGTTTCCAAAGATGATGTGCTCTTTATTGACAATTCCTGGGGGAATCTCTTCCACACCACTGGTCATCTCCCACAAATAGGTCTACAAGAAGAGTACATAAGAAGAGAAAATAATAAAAGTATAACAGTATAACTCACTGAACATATTGTGACATATTTTTCAACTGGCATGAATTTCAACTCACATCCATGCACTCCCGCAGGTCACGCACATAGGCCTTCTCTGTCTGGATTAGCTCAGCCATGATAAACCTAATAATTAAAAAAAAAAAATCAGTAAAATCAACAAGCTGTCATTTTAAGTTCACATTTTCAGGGTACTTCCTAAAAATGGTCTCAATAGGAACATACTCTTTTCTGCGTGCAGACTTGCGTTTCTCCTCATTCAGCTCATGAGCAGCATCTCTCAGCTTGACCTCTGACCCCGTAGCAGGTATATTGTCCAACTGGAGGTCTTTACTCTGAAAGGGAGCAAACGTAAAACCATTATTGTCTTTTAAATGTTTAACAGTGTGCAGATGTTAGGCCTTACTCACAGCTTTGTTAGAGTCGGGAGAGATGCCCAGAGCCTTCTCGAGGCTGCAGCGGTATTTGTCCATGCGCAGGGAGAAGTCTCTGTATCTTTTATCCACAGCTGTCACCCATTTTTTTATTTCTGCAGCGTGACTGTGGCCTTTATCACAGAAGCCCTCGGCCAACTGAATAAGCAACTTAACACGCTCTTTAGTTTGCTACAAAAGAAGAGGCATTATGTAAAATCTAGGGATACAGAATTTTGGTACTGCGATTGTGATTAGATTTGTGATATATGTTTAAACATAGCATTCGGGTCAGAGTTAACATTGTAAACAACTCCGCGAGCTTTTGTTAACATAAAGTGAAACATGGAATTAAACAAATACAAGAATTCCATGACATGTTTGAAGAGGTAGAAACTACAGGTACAACAAGATTTTTCTACAAAAAGACAAAATATTTAGTTCTTTGTAGAGGAAATTATATTATCTAAATGGCAGTCTTTAAGATTTTGCTGACTCAAATTGCAGTTACATAAGATCTGTATAGATATACCTTGGCTGTAATGTGGAACTCCTCATGCTCCTTCAGCAGTTCCTGTGTGTGGTGGATGCTGGAGCCAGTGGAGGTATGTGTTGACAAATAGAACTCCCCAGTGTCATGAATCCACTCCAAAGCCTAAAGAAACAAGAAATATTATTTAAATTAAAACATCCTTGCAAATGTTTCAAACTTAAATGGCCTATTCCGCTCATCAAGAGTACCTGGACTTTTGTTTTGTTTCTTGTTTGCAAAGAGAAAACGCTCTGTTCCACCTTGTGATGTCATGTGGTAATACAGGAAGTGCTCCACTGTGCTTTTAAACTCCATACATCTTCACTAGAATAATTTGGATGACTTCAGTAATGGAATTGCCTATCTCTATGAAGCTAAAGGTAAAAGGTAACTATTAATTTGAAAACTACCTTCATAACATAACACGAGGTGGAACTAAGGTGTAACATTACAAGAGCATTTTGAGCTTTAGAGAAGTAGACAGGTTTTGTTTCATTCAACAATGTGTGACTGAAACAAAACAGAACTCCAGGTATGTTTTTGAGGATGTAACAACATTATGGCTTAAAGCTAGCTCACACCTGTTAACTTTGTGTAATATGGGACATTTAAGGATTGAGTTTGAGTCCCCTCACCTGTTTGGCGCTGCGCTCAAAGACCACATACTGCTGGCACTGGTCTAAACGCCTCTTCCTCATGGTCCAGAAATGAAGCACCCGGTTCTCCCTCTGAAGCAGCTCATTCAGAATGTTCTTCACCTGTTGTTCCGGAGCTTTGACGTGGCTCAGCATCCCGGGCATGTTCACACTGTTCCTGTGCATGTACTTCAGGAAGACGTCAGCATTTCTTCTGGCTAAGGTGCATGCCTAAATAGGAATGGGAAATATTGACCAAAAATAGTATTTCAATTTTTTTTCAAATATTTAAATGATATTATAGCAATCAATAAGAAATGTGCTAAAACATCTCTTCATCTCTACTCAGGTGAGGTTAAAGACAAAGACCAATCCAATATAAAATGCAAAACAAAAGTGCAGAAATAACCCTACTTTTAATAGTATTTTTCATTAAATTACACAATAAATACTGAAAAATATACATATGTCCAAAACCACATTCACACATCATCTATACTTCAATCATCTGCCCACATCTACACATGAATGATAAGATTTAGCCAGCTTCTCCCAAAAGATTACGCCAATAATATAACAATATGCTTGATTACTACCTTCAAAAACGCTTCCTTCTGCTCCAGATGTTTGCTGATCATGGGGGTGACGTGGTCGGTCTCAGAGTTGGGTCCCAGTTTGTCTGCTCCCCCGCACCAGTCCTCCTCCCGTTTGTACTCTTGCTCCAGGCTCTCCAGTACACTGCACACCTGCTCCGATGTTTTATAGAAGGCCACAGAGGCGTTCACCAGCTTCAGTCTGTCCTCCATCTTCAACATGAGCTGCTGCCAGTGGGATGCCACACTCTCTGCGCAGTCTCTAATCAGGTCCATGTCATAGTGGTTGGCTTGAAGGAGGGCTTCTGCCTTTTGCTGAACCTGCAGGGCACTCTGGTGGGTTTTCTGCACAAGACACATCATGTATTATTAAAAATGTTACAATTTTATAGTTGTATATTTCAGCTATATTTGTATTATAAACCTCTATAGCGTGTTGGAATTGTTCATGTTCTCGTTGCAGTTGCTCGGCTTCTTGCAGGGAACTGGCCGTGATCAAACCAGCGTTAAGCATCGACTCACCATTACGAATCCAGCCAAGAACCTGGATGACAATCAGATGCCATTCACGTAAAACAATAGGGTAGGCAGTTAATTTAAACAGTGTCAAGAGAACAAAACAATGCCCAGAAATCATCAACATCATCATGTAGGAGACACTTCATTTGTTGAATCAGGCATGAAAAGGCAAAAATAATATTAATATTATAATAATATAATAATAATAACAGGTAACATGGAACTAGTCATCTGTGTGATCCGTCAGTCCAAGTTACATTTCAGATTTCTTTTTATCAACTGGACACTTCTGTCCAGGCAACAGAATAAAATTTTCTTTTGTGATAGAACTGGCCTTTTCTGAAAGTGAGAAAATTTTTTTTTTTTCTGCCAGCAAATTAGATCCAAACTCAGAAAAAGTGGCAAAAGACTACTTTATTATAGCTGTAGTTACAAGTACTCCCCTACAGATGGCACCAAACACCACAAAGAATTACCTGCTTGACTTCAGCCTGGAGGTGCCTAAGCTGGACGCACTGTTCCAGGTGTCTGCGGTGCTGCTCGGCTGCCAGGTCCAACTCTTGCTGTTTCTCATGAAGAAATTCCAGCAGTTCCTGAACCCGCGTTGCCATGTCAACATCTCTGTCGCAGAGTAGCTCCACACCTGCAAAACAATTGTATAACCAGTCAGAAGAGGCTCATTGAAAAGGCATCTCATAATGGTATTTCTGTCTGCCATCTAACAAGTATAAGGCAAGAGTATGAATTATTATGATTAACAATTCTTTATTCCAATATGTGATGTAACCTATGTTAAATCACCCACAAGGTATTCTGGTCTGTGAGTGGGTGCTTTTTCACAGCTGCTGACCAAAGGTGACAAACACAAGTGCACAACACCTACATAATAAACTAGCAATGCCAGTTCTGTAAGAAATGCACAATGATCAGCATAACAGTACATTGCAATGTCAAGTAGATATTGTTGTGTTTTTATTGGGATTTAATCAATTTAGAATCAATAAAAGAATCTAAAGAGCTCAAGAAAAGGCATTTAGCAAGAATGTGAAGTCCCAAATGTATGTTATGGGTGTTATGGCAAAAAAGCGCAAGTCAGTTTCAAAATTGATCACAATTCTTGCCTACCCTCTAGGAGGAGTGGAGCATCAAAGACAGCATACGCCTTTGCAGAAACAGTCTTGGTTTGAATAAAGCTTAATTAAAAAAAGGCCTGAGTCGCAATGTAAAATTCTCTCCAAATTTATATCAGGCCATTACCCATCCACTGGTTATAATGGTTGAGGTCATGCTTAACAAATTCTAATTCAAATAAGCTTTACAACAGCAAACCTGTCTCAGTAGTGTTATCCAGTCTTTGAATTTTAAGGTCAGGCCATAGACTATGTGTTGGCAAAGCAAAAAAACAAAACAAAAACACTGAAATATTAATCATCTGGCTTTTCTCACCTGATGCCTGAACTTCATTGACGTACTGCAGTAGTTCCTGACCCTGGTGGATGACGTCAAATGTGAGGTTGTTCATGGTGAGAGCTTTATCAGCATGATGCTGCAATCTCTGCTCGGCCACTGTCAGATCTTCTGTATCGAATTCAGTCAACTGCCCACTCAGCTCCTCATTCCATGAGTCCAGGTCAGAAATTATCTATAAACAATATCATGATCTGAATGAATATCTGCAATATAACCAGAATACACAGGTAGATGATGGGATACTGTACTGCTCTTTCTGATATTTCTATATTCAAATTCTTAATCCAGTGTTATTATGGATCTACATTATATATAGAATTGGATCTTATTGGGTCTTGGATGCCGAAAAAAAATAGTTTTTTTGCTTTTGCTTTGATTCAGCCACGATGAGGAAATTATTTTTTTTTATTAGTACTTTATGTAGTCTGTCTTATTCACTATCAGTTTTTCTGAGCATTTTCAGTATTGTAGAAACAAACTTTCTGCAATACTGGAAACCTCTCTGCAATGCAGTAATAAATATTGTCTTAAAAATTCATAATGTAATTCAAATCCAAACTCCATACTTCATGCCTGCACAAATTGGTTCACACGCAGTTGTGCACTCACATCAATAGCATCGCGCTCAAATATCCGCAGCTGTAGGAAGAGCTCCAGTTTGATCTTGCGCTCCTGAAAGAGCTCCTCCATCTGGGCCTGTGCCTCATCCAGCTGCTGCAGGACGCTCTCGATGTGGTGGATGGAGCTGTTGTGGGGAGTCTTGTTGCTGGAAATGGCCGAGTCCCTGGTGAACACAAAAACACACACAAGCAATGAGCCAACAGAGGCAGACTGGTGGGCTACAGAGGGAATCCAGAGGGAATCGACAGCCATAAAACCACTGATTAGCAAAAGAGGTGGGTATGAGTAACATTGACAAAATGTAATCTTGTTTTTTTTTATTATCCCGATGATGATGTTTAAATAGTCCATGAGAAGGCTGCTAAAACATGCCTGTGGTTGAGATTCAAGTATTGCACAAAACATGAATGGAGTGTGAAGCTGACCACAAAGCTCAGAATTATTACACTCCATATTTGATTTAATGATTATGAAGTTTCTGAAATGATGATTTTTAAGTTGCCATTTTTGCAGGCATTTTTCATTATTGACCTTATTCCACCCCACCCACTTTTGCCTCTAAATGCTACCAAACCGTGCTTTTTTGTGGTAACACTTCCAGTTAAGTGGGAATATCATTCATGTCAATGGAGAATTTCAGTTTTGAAACTTCATTTTTGAAGTTTCACGGCAAAAAAAAAAAAAGTTATAAAACAGAAAAGCTTTTAAAACAGCTTTATAGTCAGCATAGAACTTATTTGCTGTCAAGATCGACCAGTCCATACAAAATACAGCCCGAATAATGATAATAGCACCCACAACAATTTACGGAATAAGCAGATACAGCAGACTTTATAGTTGGATAAATTAGAAACAGTTGGCAAGACAATATGTACATAACAATGATGAGATGGGTAAGTAATACAGGCCCTATAATGAACTGAACTGAGTGTGACTGTTGAGAGAAAGTTAAAGAGGTCATGCCGTCTCAAATGTATCAATGTGACAGTTGCACACATGCATGAAGAAAACATGCACAGACAGCAGAGTTTACAGGAGGCAAAACGTGATGAAGCAGAATTATAATAAGATTAGATGTATCCTGACTAGCTCATGGTTGATTCATCTGTGAGAGATAAGCGCACATGGAGTGACGCACACAAAAGGTGTGCAGAGCCACAGTTTGCTCCAAGGGATACTGTCATGCAATTAGATGAGCTTATAAAAGACTTATGTAAGAATGCATTATGGATCTGACACTCTAGAGAGAGAGATGAACAGAATAAAGACAAAAGTGGGTAGATGATAATGAAGAGGTACTGTGAACTTCTAATTCGGCAAGTACTATTAACCATTTTGTCATAGGGCTGCTTTCAAGAGTGTCCATAAAACAATTGACTTGTGATGTAGATAATAATGCATTTCATGTACCTGCACCTCTCCAGATTAGTATTACGTAAACACAAGAGGGTCAATAAACTTTTAAGGCGAACCGTGATAGTGTTTCCCCTCGATTCCCGGGAGCCTATGGTGGCACAAGATCAATTATTTAATTTCACACAATTTGTGGAATATAACTGATGATTACTGCCTGTGCAGTCTTTTTAGCCCAGTTACTTTAAAATGTTTATGATAAGACAATGGGCAACCATTTTGTGATGCCAATGTATAATCCAGGTTGCTTTTAGACTATGGGGAGGAATTTTAGACTATAGGAGCACCATAATCTCCTCTATTAATATAATTAATCTTTATAGTCTGTAAAAATAAAGTAAATGTACATTACCTGAGTTGTTGGATGAGATCTTCCCCTTCCTTGATGACATTGACAGTGACCTGAAGTGTAGTTTGCTGCTGTTGGCCAAAACGTTTAATGAGGTCTTGTACAGCTTCAACCGATTCGGCATAGACATCATCCAAAAGCTCCTTCTGTAACTCTTCCAGCCACGTCCACAGCTAATGCAAAACAAAGTAAAAAAAAAAAAAAAAAAAAAAGTTATAAAATTTTGTAAAGTGCTTTGAATGCCTTGAAGGCGGAATACAATATAAAAACATGTGACCATTTTACCATTTAAAAGAAAAGTTCCCAACTCCTGTTATCTGATGCACTGTTCAACTCTTATCTGATGGGGTTTCCAAATAACATCCCGGACATTTTGGGGGAAGAAAAACTATTACACTATTAGAGGATTACGAATATTGTCAAAAATTTTCTCAAAAAAAAAAAAAAAAACAAAAAAAAAAAAAACAAAAAAAACCAAAACACTGATACCTGTAGGTCTGTCACAATAATTACTATATCAACTTCTCATTCAATACATGATAGATGGAAAAATTATTATTCTAGGTCAATATTTAGTGTGAGTACTTTTTCTTTGTATTAAGGGAGGACTTTGGTTATTTTTTGTACTATGGTGAAATTTGAGTTGTACAAGTTTGAAAAAGTGACTTCTATGCCATATTATAGATATAAACTAGTATTTCATTATGCTATTTATTTGCTACAGGTTTTATTTTCAAAGATATTCTACACTTCAAATAGTTTTTGGTATAATAAATTTAAATATTTTCATTTATTGTCTACATTTTCTTCAGTAATATATGACACTTCCAAATGTGTTATCATGAAATACCTGAATACTGGCTCCTACTCCCATTGGACGGTGTGACAACATCCATCCCACATTAACACAGTTGATGCATTTTTATGGTAACATTCGCTTGCACTTTGAGGCTAAATGTTAAACTACCAACACCCAAAGCTCCAGAATAACTGCTCCACACTCCATCCCCATTCGCCTGTTGTTTAAAGAGCACTCTCATGTACACAAGTGCACAGCCCACATCCACATTGACATCCACTTGTCGGTTACATCAGCCTCCTGCCTACCTCTTTGACGTGCGTGTGGAAGGCGACAGACATATCCAGCAGGACTTTGCGCTGCTCCACGCGGCGAACAAAGTCTTGGATGCGGTCCTCGAGTTGGTGGGCGGCCTGATAGATCTCCTCTGGGTCGCACTCTCCCGTCTGGGCCAGCTGCTCGGCCGCCTCCAACAGCTTGTCAGCATTGGTGTAAGTGTTCTGCAGGAGTCCAGCAGATATGGGGGTTAACGTAATAAAAATACAATAACAACAAGAGATTACAAAGTATAAAGTATAGACTATAGAGTATAGGAGATTAGGTATTTTCAAAAATAAACATAGGGACCTTATTTTGTAAGTGAACAAGTGAATGACAGAAAATCAACAGTATTGCTTTTTTTTTTTCATTAAATATTTCACAGTATATGTATGATATGAATTTGAATGAACAGGATGTGAATGAGTGGTTAGTGGTTGGATGGCTTTTGCATACGTAAGTACCTGTGCAACTTCCTCAAAGTCCTCATGGCGTTTTTGAAGGGCTCTGGCTCGATGCAAAGACTTCCCCACACCTGTGTGTTTGCTAAGAAAGGCCTCACCATGGTTCTCTATCCAGTCCAGCACCTGAAACAAAACATTTATAGTGAGACAAATTCAACCAGCAGAGGGGGCCTGGCAGTATGAGGGACTATGTAAGAGCAATATGTTACAGCCAAAGCATTCTGAAAGAGGTGTAGCAACAATGCTTTATTTTCACACTGCTTGCTGTGCCCTTGCCATAAATGAATAAACAGCATCTGCATGGACATATGACCCAGTTCAGTTGCCATGGCAGTTGTTGCCGTGGCGACACACTCAGAGATACTCATCATTCTTTTGTACATTATGATCGTGTATTATCGTGTTTCATATTTGATTTTGAGCACATATTTGGCCACTTACAGCGTTTACCAAGCAGAATGATGGATGACAACAAAGATCCAGGGCATTTTGAGAGGAAACAAGGCTGTTGCTGAGATATAACCCTTTTATTAGGAGCATGATACTTCATATAGCCAACAACCTACCCTACCATTTTCAAATTACTGTCAATCCCATTCAACTCAGTAAATGTGCCTATTAAATTACATCTTGTACACACTGCAAAAAGCAGATGCCCAAGGGCTGTGTACAGTTAGATTTTTCTTTTTTTATACCGGTTCCTGAACGGTTATTTTTTCAGTACCTGTATTTTTTATGTAAATGAATGGTCAACATTATTAAGAAAATACTTTTCAATCACTGAATTACATTACCACTATGTTAATTCATATTTTAAATCAAAGTACTAGGCTATACTATTTTCATTTATAAGTCAATACAAATGTGCATACAACCTGAACCAGAGCGCACACAGCTGACCCTCACATCCACTTAAGTTTCAGTTTTGTTTTCGCTGCATACTGCACTTTATATTGAAGGCAGCACTTGGAGCAGGTGTTTTTGTTTTGATAATTTTTTTTTACGCTTTTACTCCATAGTTACCTGAACAGAGGATGCGGTCTTGTTTGTATACATCTTTACACACATGCGCTCTATACTGGATGCAAACACCACATTTAGTAATTACGCTTTTACGGGGACCGAGGAGGAGGACTTTGGCGGAGTTTGGTTCCTGTTATCTGTTTGGCTTCAACTTCACGGCAACACTACAGACTGTGCCTGGATGTGGATTAATTATTACACGCAACACTTTGAGACACTGTAAGGCCCCCATTGGTATGTTCAGGTGGATATAAGTTTTACGCTGCACGCTGTTTCTTCAGCTCTTCTGTTTTACCAGTAAGAGGACACTGCGCTTTGTACACATTTAGGACTATGTTAAACGTGTGTGCTGTTTGTGCCATACATTTCAGTTGTGTTGTGACATGTGAGCACCTGCGCTGCTGATAAATTGGTGTGGTATTTATTGGCTCATTCATACATGCATGTAAAGCTAAAGAACCTAAAGTTGGTATCGAACGAACCATAGTTTTTTGGTACCAGTAGTTTTCAGTCGGTGCCTAACAGAACCGAGTTTCGGTGCCCTGCCCTAATGCTGCCTAGTTCTGCCAGACATTTTCAGAAGCATTACCAATAACCAGGCTAAAACAGACAAGGATTAAAGCAAAATCACATATCAGATATGGGCTGAGATCTTAACCTGTTGCACATCCTGCTGGAAGACACAAAGCTGCAGGCGCTGATGGAGCCGTACTTTCCGGTGCTGCCAGATATTCTCCAGTTGTCTCTGATGATGCAGCACCTCATGGATAATGTCCAGAACATGGTGCACTGCTTTGGAGTAGTTGGCTGATGCCGTCAAAGAGTCTGCACTTCCGGGAGTCAACGGTCTCTGTAGTTTGTCTAGTAGGGCTTTTCCATCCTGGCTTACCTAAAATATATATTAAATGAAACATTAACAACTTAACATTAAAAACCTAGTTTTACAACTAATTTGTTTTGGTTGCAAATGCAGTCTTTTAGCATCAAGTATTTTAATCAAATTCTTTTAATTCATTAGGACAAAGTATTCCTTCCCAAACTGTGGAAATTGGCATAGCAACTGTCCTCTGTTATAGAAATAACACAATTCAAATCAAAATATTATATTGTTTTAATGAGGAAAGGGGTCTCACAACTTCAAATCAAAATTAATCACTTTCCTGAAACCATAGATGAGTAGTTTTGAGGAGTTCCTTATCTCTAATATTTTGATACCATTTAGATATAGCAAAAGAACATTTATGCCATTAAAATGTCAAGCTTGTTATGGGCATGCAAATTTAACCATGTCAGATACAGAGCTTGCATCTTGGCCTTGGTGGCAAACTCCTATTCTAAAAGCCCTATTAAGGTTTCAATGCATTATTTGTGAAGAGATAGTTACCTCTGAATATGCAGCTGTTATGTGTTCGTACAGGCCCTGATGATGATGGATGGCGTCTTCTAAGTCCTGGAGCTCTGAGGGCAAATCCACCTCGCCGCACGCCTTGCACCACGAGTCCACATTACCCATGTACTGCAGGCACAAACACAACAGTTATTAAGAACACACTGCCAATGACATTTAAAGTATTTCCTTATTGACGTGAGACAGTGGTGGTGTACACACATGCTAGGAGTCATGTGTTAGTCAGACAGAAAGGACAAGACTTCACCTCAGGTCAGAGTCAAAGTTTAAACATTTAGAAATAAGATTATATAAGGTTCATAGCTCTTCTGGTATTTTCTATTTTCAACTCAATGATTATTAGCCTTGGGAAACTTCCAGAAACAGCATCTACCTCCCATTGAAATAACTCAAACAAACATATTGTTTAAAAGATTTATTTCCTCAACACAAGCATTAAAGCTTGTGTTGTAAGAAAAGGAAAGAAAAATCTAAAAAAAGATTGTTTTGACTCTCTTTCAGCTCACAAACATGAATGCTCTTCTTGTGACTGCAATAGACCAGGTCGAAGAAGTCATGCCACCCATGTTCTTTAATTGGGAAATCGCCTGTGTGCTTTTCAGCCAGTGATTCATACTACAGTCCCTCAATATAATGAGCTCAGCCAGGACTAAAACAAGATGCATCTGTTCTGCATATTAGGTAAATATATGTTAATATGTTTCTATTTGTTAGTCTGTATAGATGTAATGAAGGCAAATAGGCACTTTTTTATTCCCAAAGACCGCATGTGATCCCCATTTATGTTTTAAAAGGTCCTTCCCTCATTGCGGCATTCAATTTAACATCAAATTATCTTTCAACTCATAATGTCAAGTAATTAAACATTTTCTTTAATGCTGTAAATCATTATATCATTGTAATCTGTCATGGCCTTTTGGCTTACCTTGTCACACTTCTGGTGAAAAGTAGCAGACATATCCAATAAAGTGCTTCGTTCGTCCAGGGCCGCGGCAAAGGCCTTCCATTCCTGCTCCAACTGACTGGAGATCTGCTTTATCTGCTGTGAAGCGTAGTGACCCGACTCCAGCAGCCGGTTCCCCACTGACATGATGCGGTTGATGTTGACATAGACATTCTGCAAAACAAGGCAGACAGTGTTTATGAGCAACAAGCAAAAATGTTATACAAAAATGTATATAGTTAATATGAATGGAAACATAAAATATGTGATGCAGTTGCACAGCTTTTGAGAACAATATACCACAATAAAGTAAACCATGCAAACAACTAACAGTAAAGTAAAGCAATAGACTATTCTGTTTCATGTGCACAAATGCAAACAGAGGCATCCACACACTCTCATATCTACAGTTTCATAATAGTTATGTAAGGCTAGCAGTGGCTAAAGAATAGCATTAGTTAATATCTACTAGCTGAGCTGCTGCAATGTGCAAGTACACACACGCAGCTCCAAACAAACAGCGCAGCAGGCCCAGGGGTTAACTGTGAGTATACGATTATGTAGAACAGGGCATGCGCGTGTGATGGTCCAAGTGGGTGGAACACACCACCTCCTACTATGCATCACTCAGTTTGATGTTGTCTTACCATGCAGTTCATGGCAAAGTGGTTGTGCTGGGTCTGCAGCTCCACAGCGTGAGGGTGATTGTTGCCGATCTCGGTGTAGCCCGCCAGGAACAAACCCTTGTTGTGCATGATCCAGTCAAACATCTACCACACAAAACACATTACTTCATTAAAGTGATGGGCAATATGCAAAAAACACATCACAATTTCACAAAGAGAAAAGATCTCGATTTCAATGTTACCACAATTCAAGTGGTTAATATCATTACAATCCTGAGGTCATCTACTGCTTTTGAGAGTTCACTTCACTGTGATAGGTTAAACTCACCTGTCACTCACTTAAAACATGACAGAGGATGACCAACGGGAGGAGTGGGTGGGGAACACATAACTGAATCATGATATGACAATTTTCATTCTCAACAAAATGGCAAGTAAACGCAGGGATTTTTATTGCTATATCGCCCAGCCCTATAATGGACACTCAATACTGACTGTTTATTGTTTACAGAGCGCAAAAGTAACATTCTATTGGATTCAACTCAGAATGCCATTTTATGAATGCAGCTGTCATATTTCCAGGTTGAATAGTGAGAAATGGTCGAGCTCTATTAAGATTATCCTCTTGGGCTCCCCTAGAGAAGAACTTGTGGCCTATGGTGTCCTAGCAACAAGCCCCTACTACTGCAGCATATCCAAGACTGCAGCTCCCCACTCTGTTACCACAATGTGCTACTTTATTCAGCTCACTCAAACCAGCACCTCAAGATTTTGCCAGCTTCTTGGACCTGTCTTACTCCATTTGGTGCTGCAGTAGTCATCTCCTGAGCTGTCAAGAGTGGCAGCCAGAGGAAGTGCCCAGGTATATGCATTAAATCATCTGCTCTGCTGTTCAGGGAGAGAGGCCCATTGATAAACGAAATACCTTAATTTGTATGCAACATTTAATGGATGCAATTTATTTGAAAGATTAAGAAATTAGAGGCAAGAGTGAACTTGTGGAACTCTTTCAGTGACCAGCAGATCACAACTATGAATATGTATCAACGACATAATCACTGGCAATACAAATATAGTGAAGACTGTGTGGTTTAAATTGGAATCTACATGTCCAATAGACAAAAAAACAAACAAAAAAAACTTGAATTATTATCCTATTTGCTTAAGAATCGAAATAATAAATGCAAATGTGCACTGCAATTTATCTATTTGGATATTAAATTCTAAACAATTTATCAAAGTGACTATTTAACATTTTATCAAATATTAATGTGTTATATGTGAAAATTAAGATTGATTCTAGAGTCTTTACAGGCAAAGATTGATGGATTACAGCATGGATTAGGGAGCAGTACATTGGCAGTGCCCTACAGTGATCACCAAATGTGTTATGGATTTCAGTTGGTTCCTCTGTCCCACACTGACCTTCTCTGCATCCTGTTCGAAGAGCCGGAGCTGGAAACACTGGTCCAACTGCAGCTTGCGGACGTGCCAGGTCTGATGGAGTTGCTGTCGGGTGGAGTGCAGTTTGTCCAGAAGCTGGGTGATCCGTGGCACAAGGCCCTGGACGTCTGTGTTGCACCCCCCTGTGCCACTGCTGCTGCTGCCACTGCTGCCCCCTGTGCTGCCATTACGGTTGGAGAAGGTCTCAGTACTCTGGATGCGCTGGAGTAACCTGGAGAAAGACAAACGTCAGGGATCATTAAATATAATTTGTTTAGTTGCAACCATAGCGTTGCTTTTAGTTTTACAAAATGTCTATTTTATTATGAAGAAACATGCTTAAATTAAATATAAAATTTTTCATCTTAGGAATGTGTACTACATACACAGAGCATGTTTTTAAGTTAGCATATCTAATAATATCTATCCATAAATATCAATGTTCTTACAAATTGTGAAACTATTTTGTCCTATTTAATCCAACACAACTTTAAAAACCATAATACAATACTGTAATTCACCACTGACTCTTACCGTTGTCCCTCTGTGTCAAGCTCTTCAATGGGAGCCTTTATGACCTTTTTCTTCAGTGCTGCATGCTCCTCTATCATTTTACGGGCTCCATCGAGGTCTTGAGGAAAATCTTTTCTGGACACAGTTTCATACATCTCCTCTAGCCGGGACAGCATCTGGGTGGCGTGACCAGAGAATTCCTCAAAAGCCACGCGCACCTGAATGCAACATGGCAAAACAGATAAGCAGCATGTTAAACTGCTGTTCTCAGCAAAAGCTTGTGTATGCAGTCAGTGTGAATATAAGCCCTTATTTTGTGTGATGGATGAGTAGTTGGTCATACCTCAATCCACTCTTCATGATTGTACTCCAGGCTGCCGTCGAAGTCTGATGTCAATTGAGAAGGGTCTACAACCTTTGTAAGGCCCTCCAGTGACACCATTGTGGTCTAGGGGAGACAGTAAAGTAGATTTATATAGAAACTGAATCTGTTAACCTTTTTTTTCAATTAAATGTAAGTAATTCAAATTTAATCATATTTATTTATTAATTTAAGCATAATTGAAATGTAAATGCCAACAGGATGGACCTGTATTGACAAAAAAGTGAAATGACACTACACTAGCCCAAGCATTTTAAAATTTACATAAACTTGATTATGCCCAGTGTCTTTTAGTAATGAAAGGCAACGTTGAATTGTGGTTGCTGATGACATCCTATGCATTCTAATACTTTATTTATGCACAAAGTAACTTTATAAAGCTTCCCAATCATTTCATTACTAGAAATCCACTTAAAAAAATAATTGTGTTTTACAATCTAATCTTCACAAATACAGTGAGGAAATGCCTCTCGTTTGCTTTCAGTGCCTCTGTATTTCTGCTACGCCACCTCCGCAAAACTCCCCCACACACATGGCCAGAGATGGATGAAGACACAACCGGAGTGAGATAGCTTTGTTCAGGTCTAACAATACAGAGTTCTACTGCTATGCCTGGGAGAAAAAAGCTTGAGGGCATTAGCCAGAGACAGGTACGTTTTCTATTGTTGTTTGAGATAATTGATTAGTGCTTGAATGAGGCAGACGGGCAAGAAGTCAAGGCTGTTCTAACAGACTGCAACGCAAAGGGATTTTAAACCAAAGTAGCACCTTGGGCTTTGTGCTATTGCTTCTAGTTTGAATTGAAATAATCTGAGAAAATACAATATAGTAGAACATGGCTAAGCTTTACAAGCATAGATTAGCTTAATATTGATTTCAAATAAGCTGCAGGGCAGAAAAATAATATCATATCAATCAATACTAAGAGACAATAGGGTCTATAACAGGTCACAATAAGGATTTTATAAACACTCCAATAAACCTGAACAACATGTCCTGGGCGATACTATAGACACATTATTCAGGCAAAGTAGTAATTCCCATTTTAATAACTGAGATACAAGACAGAATTAAAAGCACTGAACATTAAATGCCATTCATAATAGTTGCTAAAGCTGTAAAACACATGCAATCCATTTCAAAGTGCACTGAAGCAGAAGAAACATGAGAATAAATGTGATCCACAAAGCAGGCCAATGGGCACACATTAACAGTGGACCTAATCAATGGTGCAGTGGCATGGCTGTTAGATAATTGTACCCAGCCCAACTACATCTAACTATTATTGCAATCAAATAATCAATAACATGTCATCGGCCTGAGGGTATTTAGAACCATCTCCTGCTGTTAGAAGGAAAAATATTTACCATCATGCTCAACTCCCCAAAGCATGCAGTTAAATCACAAGGTTTCATGGACGTATCAGTGACGACAGAGCTGTTAAATAAGTCATACACGAGCAGAGAACATGTACAGTCCTCATCAAAGAGCATGTATTAAAGAACCTCCATTCAGAAGAAAGCCTCTCCACTGGGTTCAATTCAGGAGCAGAGCCTGCCCTCATCTCACACCAAGCTTCATTAACATCACATGGAAATTACATCTGTGCACATTTTATACAGTACGCTGAAATGGAACTAAAAATAATGACGCACTTGACAAAATGCCACTTTAAACCTCTGTTCAGCGATCTCTGCTGATCTGCCAGTTTTGCCAGAAGCACAAAAGCCAACAATATTCTACCGTCAGCAGTAAATGCAAAACGTAATGACAAGTGGTCTTAAATTCCATTTCAATTGAGAGACAGCTGGTTGGTAGCACTCTCTATGCTTCGATTGGGATAGGAAAGTGAAGGAACACATTGACAATAAAAATGCTCAACAGCTACAGTCATTTTAAAAATGTTTTGTCATCTGTAATGGGCCAGTAGTACCAGATAAACCAAGCAAAATATCATTTCCATGATGTAGTGGTAAAAGGTCTGTTTACCTCAAATTCAAACTTGGAGCTTCCAAAGTTGGTCTTCTGCTTCTGCCAGAAGTTGTCAGGTTTGATGATGAGAGCAACGTGGATGCAGGAAGGGAAGGACTCCTGCAGGATCTTCAGCAGTGGCTTAATGCTGTCCCATTTGGATCCTCGCATATCAACGATGACCGTGAAGCCATGTTTACACACATCCTCACTGGATCAGAGGGACGGAGGGTGCATGAGTGGGTGGCAGCAGTAGTAAAGAAGAGGAGGGATTGAGCCATGGGAGATTGAGGAGAGTATAATCCGGGCAGAGAGAGACAGATGACAGGCGTGGGAAAGAATGACAGAGGGTTGGTGAGAGGGAGACGGATGATCGAGATGAGGAGGAAAAACAAGAGAACAACAAACCGTGAGATGACGCAGTTTCTATATGGTGAACAGCCTACGCACTAAAAACACAGAGCTCACACACCCGCCCATGCTCTAACCCCACACCTACACAAACCTACAACAAATGTGAGATTATATAGAAAATACTCATCAGCACATTTTGTGCTTCAGCAACCTCATCTCCCTGTGGTGTAGAGAACTGTGCTTGACATGATTATCGCTTGCAAGCACTTACTGTATTACTCAGTTAGAAATCTATTAAGCCATACCTATATCCACTTGCATTATAGCAAATATTTTTGTATACAAATAATTCAGAGAATACTTGATCAAAGATTTTAAAGAAAATAATCAAAACATTTCAGATGTATCCAGTTTCCATAATCTGTTCCATCTACCATTCAAGATGCTAGAATATAGAAACACAATGCATAAGTAAGTTGTGCTTTAAAATGCCTCTGTCAGTGAATGTTCCCTTATGTAAAGCCACAGATGGTGAATGATAACAGCGCACGCTAATTGGAGCAGATGGAGAGATATGGAGAGGAGGGCGCGGACGGAGAGGAGTATTACCTACTGCCTGTCGACTGGCCACTGGTCCTCACTGGTCCTCACTGGTCTGCTCCGACTGCAGCTGCTCTGCCTGGGCTACTGCGACACTTTGTTTTGCTTTCATGCACTCTCTCGCTCCTCCATCTCGCACACACCTCCCCACACATGCGCTCTGACGCTACTGCCCGCTTAATCCCCTCCTCTCTCTCCATCGCTTCTCCCCTCTCCCTGTCATCTGCTCGTTTGTTTTCATCATAATTTTTTAGGCTTTGCTATGTGTATTTACTTTTTCTACGAATAATAACAATTTTATGGCTGTAGCACATCAAACTAGCCTTTAATGATTTTGCTCGCACTCTTCTCACATGCTCTCTCCAGCGCTCACGTGTTGCGGCTGGTGTGCGACTATGAAGCGTGCATGCAGACAGAGGGAAAAAAAACAAAAACAAGTAAAAACCTGGGGATGCTGGCAAGGTATGCAATCAGCCTTCTCAGATCCTCCTGTCGTATTCTATCATGATTGCTACGAGATGGAAATGTTAACACCGGACCCCCTCGTCTGTCTCTGCCACCTGGAGAAATAGAGAAATAATTAGCAAATAAATGTGATGTTACAGAAAGGCTATTAGGCTTAAGATATTAGCTATATGAGAGTGGAATACTAAAAGCCAGAGAATGAGCTCAGCACATAAATGAGTGATAGACTTGATAAATGAGAAATGCCGAGCACGCTGAGTCAAATGCCCTTCCAAGCAGATTTACAGACCATTTGAATGACGATCCATCTGCTAAAAAGTCTGCACCAATGAAAGCTTTTTAGTCATAAAAAACATGACAGAGGTATTTAGAAAGACAGAGAGACAATTTATTACAAAAGATCTATGAGCTAGTCAAGAACATCATGGACCTACTCATTTGTATTGTTAGACTGCCTACCCAAAAATATTGCCATTGTCACCAGATTGAGAACACTCAACGTGGTGTAATTTTGTAATTTTTACAGTATAATAACAATAATTGGGATTTCAATTATACAGTTGCCATGATTATAATTTTTGCCATCTCTACTATAATATTTAAATGGAGATGGAGGCATGTGAAGTTAATATTTTAGTGTAATATAGCAAGCAAGTGATTACTTATAGATGAGAAAAAACATATAATATAACTTTCGGATATTTATTTGGACAATTCAAAGCAATCAAAATGGAAAAATCCTAGCAGTAATACCGTTGCATTCTAGAATTTGAAGACCACCAATATCCACCAACATCCACAACAGATTCTGCATGAAGACTTTCTGGAAAAGTTGCTCTCCCCAGGTCAGGTGCATGTCCTCTGCCCTCTGTGGGCTTTTATTGTGTTGAATTATTGAATCTACAATTGTCCAAAGTGAATGGTTGTCTGTCAGTGAATGTCTCCATATCAACCCTGCTTCTAATGGGCACTTGTCCAACCCATAGGGGAGTACTGTGACATTGTGTGCTTCAATATCTCCTGGAACATAGCATTAAAAATGTTCTTTGGAAAGGGAAAGTTGAACATTTTAATTGAGCATTACAGTCTTCTATACAGGGTGGACAACACAAGTTATACTACAAAAAATGTAAACAATCTGTGCATTACGTTTCAGCCAAATCCCACCAGCAGGCAAACGAGTGCATCATGTTTGAAAAGGCTTGAGACAATAATGACTGAACAAACAGTGAGTCACTGGTATCAATCCACGCATCATGTTATTTTCATCATAACAGAGCGTCATGAAGAACACTGCAGTTTGTTTGCCTGATCAAATTATGACCTTAACCACTTAACAAAAAATATAAAATTTTTAGGTGCATGTCTGTGCAAGTGTTTTTAAGTGGGTTACTCCTTAATATTTAAAACACGCATAAACAATATAATTTATTTACTTTTGTCCCTTTTGGAGAGAGAAACCTGAATGTTAAGCAATCATAGGGCTGCAGTCACCCAAGATATTCTTAAGTGACTAAATAAAGACATGCTCAGGGAATTGACTAAAATTGTGTGCGGTGTGGTCTCAAAATGATTAAGATCTTGCACAAAAACTACCATGCATACTGTATAAAACCAGTAAACAACATCTTCATGTAAAAATACACCAATGATCTCCATAAACTATAGCTAAAAGCATTATTTTGCTGTGGTCCATGTAAATCAATATAATTCAAATATCAAACAGAATGTCAACTTATAATAAATTGGTTGAATAAGACAACAGTGGCTGATTAATCAACTAGCCTACTAAAGGATTAAATCCCGAGGTAATTGTCAATAAAATCTCCTCAAAACCGTAAAATCCCAAAATTGTTTGCTCCACGGTTTCCCAGTTTTCTGTAGTCTACATAATCTATAACCGTAGAACACTTTTTACATTACATTACTTATTGCAAAATGTTTATCAACCAAACTAAACCTCTCATTGAAAAAAAACATTTGTGCTGTCACGTGTTGAATTGCACATAGGCAGACTATCCACAGCCCACAGTGAGTGAGTTGGGTTGGTGTGCGCCTGTGGGCTCGACCCGGCTGCTGGCAGAGAGAAATCAAGCGCTCACGTGGCTCACAGTAACATGAGTGCGCCCACGAGCATGGACAATTTATTAGAGGCCACGATTGAGAATAATAGGCTTAGCGTCATTTACCCTTCTTTTCAACGAACCCCTGGTTAATGTTTAAAGCCAATTACAATACCAGTATGGGGCACAGGAGCATGAGGTATAATAAGTCATCACCATGGCAACGCAGCACAGTCTCTCTCTGCCTGTATTTCTGTTGGATTGAGTCATTGTCGTCCTGATTGTGGCGTTTCTCCTCATGACCTTCACTGGAAATGCATCTTGGCTGATTGAAAAAAAAAGCACATTGGCCCTTCATATTTGAACATAAAAGCTGGTTTATCGTTTTAAATGTCTACATCCAGTCCTCCAATCCAAAGCATGTAGTTCGCAGCAGTTCAGATTTTGGAGGAAGTCATTTGATTATTTTTTAGTGTTAAATGGAAATGATTAAAAGTATGTATTATTTATGTTAACCTGTGGTTGGTAATATTTCATGTTTGAGTCACTATGGATTAAACTATTATGAATTACCCCTTTTTGGAATTTTTTGAAGCAATAATTGTAAACAAAATTTAAAAATTGTATCATTTGCATGTCCCAACTAGAAGTGAAATGATAAAAACAAAGGGTTCCTTCCAGAAACGTGAATTTCAAACTGTACACTTCATGATCCCATGTATAAGATTAAAGTTTATTGATGTGGACCCGTTGGATAATGTAGCCTGACGAGAGGGGGAAAAACATACCAGAGGTATACCTTACCTGATAAAAAGGCCACTTTTTCTTTTAGAATAGGAAGAACTTCCATGGCTCTCATTTGTTCATTCCTTTTGAAACCTGAAGGAGAAAGAAAAAACAATCTTGAGAGTTTTGCAAAAAGAAACGTAAACCTTTTTGTGGTATTACTTTGGGGCCATTAAAGACAAGATTATTTGGGATAGAGGAGAATTTGTCCATTCATAATCTGGAAAGCTCAATCTTTCCAACATCAGGGACTGAGTGCCATTACAAATTGCTTGTGTGGTGCGTATAAAGTCAGTAAGGTCATTTTACGCACACACTCACATGCACACTTAAGCTGGGAAGGAAGTACAAAGGCTGTGGTTGGAGAAAGTGGTGGTCAGACAAAGGGAGACCAAGCAGAGGAAACAATAGCCTGTTGTGGCGTTCACTGGTGAGACGGGAAACTGCCTTATGCAATATTCAGCCTCAAAGCCCAATTCACTCCACTGCTTTTGACACAGGATTTACATCCAAGTCAGTCCTTTCCACATGATTCAAGTGTCATTTTCATGTACCGGTAGATATTGAGCAAATATATATCAACTTCAAGTAATTTAAAATGTTTACAATTTTGGCAAAAGGTAATTTTAAATAATACACTATTATCACACTACAATAGAATACCGTATACTGTGATTTTGTCATGTCAGATTATTGTTTTTTTAATTAGTTCATAAAGCTTTGTTCGAGGAGACATTGATCATACCAATGAATTGCAATACAATGGAATATCAATTGCAATAGTAATGGATAATGACAAATGTTTTGATATTCACATTTAAGGTAGCTATGAATGGGTCCCACCAACATCACTATGTTGGGGTCTCAAACAATATGGATTCAAAATACAAAAGGTACGGTCCCATCTTTCACACCACACTTCATTCTTGGCACTTGAGTTTATATGAAGACCATCTAGCTGCCAGCCACAAAAATATACTGCAGAATCTTTCCTCTCGTGAAAAGGATTTCCCATCTATTGTGCTCTGTGATGACTGAAACCCAATCTTATTACTAAAGGTTTTCACATTTATACTGGCACATAATTCATTCCTGGGAAAGTCATCTGGCATTATCCACTCACTAAGCCCTTCTATTGGTTTCTCTAAAAAGGTGAACATTAGAAGTGGATAGGCGGCAGCACGGAATTCACACGGCAACACTAACCTGATTTCTAATCTGTCACCCTATAAATGTCAGAGTAGATCTCATGGGTGTCTCGGTGCTGTTAACATGTGTCACCAATGGATGAATGGCTGTCAGGAGATCCTCTGTCAGAGAAAACTTTTCCTGATGTGATTAAAGCCTTGTACTTGGATATACAGTTGGACAGATGGCCCAGGTGTTATGAAGCACCCTCAGAGGTGTAGTTAGTCACAATGATGACACACCTGTGAGCTGTCTGTTTACCTGCCCTTGAATTTTGGGAAAGCAAGTGAAGTGTAATAGAAAGCTTTCTGGATGACATAATGGACTTGTAGTAGACAGCGTTATATAAGGTGACATAATATTTCTCCAAGAAACCCATATTGGTCCCAATGATCAGTGATCATCAATGATTAAAAGCTAGCTGGATATCTCAGGTTTTTCAAACTACTTTTAACTGCAAAGCTAGAGAAGCTGCCATTCTTTTCGGCAAAAATGTTCCATTTTGCTTAGAACAAATGAGAGCTGATTCTTTTGGCAGATATGTATTGATTACAAGGCATATTAATGCTACTCCCACCACAATGCTCAACATTTATGGCCTTAACAATGATAACCCTGGTTTGAAAAGTTTTTGATTTCATCCCCAGCTCTTGTTCTAATATAATAATCGGCAGGGACCCCAAATTTACAAAACCTCACATTTACACAGCTTCAGCTCAAACACTGAAAGACCTAAAGATAATGAGGAATCTTGTCAACGTATGCTGCCTTTTGCATCTTACAAAGATTTTAAATTTTATTCACATGCACACAAGTCTTAAACAAGGATAGATCTGAACTATTATCCAATATTAAAGACATTACATACAATAACATTATGTCTGATCATAGTCCAATCTCACTTCAGTTTATATTATAATACCTCAACAAAAATATATTTACAAAACTTAATCCCCTTTTGTTGCATGACCATACCTTTGTCTCATATATGAATGATCATATAGATGAGTTCATGCTAATTAATGACAATGGAGAAGTAACGAATTCAACTCTGGGAGATGGTCACAAGGTCATATGTAGAGGCCATATTACTGCATATGAATCAGCCAAGAAAAAAAAAAAAGAACTTAAACAGCCTCATAGGTTGGTTGGAGGAATGGAAAATAATTTCCATTTGTGAATTTGATAAGCAACAAATAAACAGAATAATCATGACTAGTTCACTATTAAAATATTGGTAACTGTCTATTGATAAAAATCATCATACACACACAGTCAGTCTCTGAAACACATACCAAAGTTATTTTTTTATGAAGACAGAGGCATAATTAAATTAATATTTCAGATTTCCACATTATCTGTAATTTTACATCTAAAAGCAAGCCTTTAGTCATATGCTGTTGGTTAAAAAATATATTTATTTAAAAAATCACAATCTACAACAAAAATAATCACCTGCCTAGTTGAACAATTGCAAAAACATTCACAGACTAGTTGCCTACTAAAATAATAGTCAGATGAATCTCTGGTGTGAAAGATAGCTGCTAAAATAGTAAAGTGGTTGTTTCCTATATAGTATATACATAGAGGGTTGATCCCAGCTTCAAAAAACCAGGCCATTATAAAATTGGGTCCCTCGGCAAGACACTTCTTTCACCTTTCCTGGGAGAATGTACTAATCAGGTTGACAGATTGTTGAGAATGGTAAGCACACGTATAGCCCCAGGCAGATGTGGCTATCGACATTAACCAAAACAGTAAAAAAATAATAGTCCAGTGTATTGCTTTAAGAAGCTTGAGAGGTGCAAGATACATCTAATTAAAATGCTCAAAACAATTAGGGGAACGCTTGTATTTCATTAGCAAACTCAATGTCGAATGTACAAATGTTAAAATTTTGTACTGAAAATAAACTCCCAATGTACCCTGAACAACAGAGCGTCAAACTGGCCAAGAACAAAAGTTAACCCTTGGAGGACCGAATTACGAAATGATGTTGAAAAACAAAGTGACTGTAGAGAGAAATGGCAATGGAAGAAATTATAAATTTGCAGCACAGCACATTGCACAGCCACTGTAGTAGTGGGTATGCCTTCCACGAGCATGCCACTCTCGACAACATCGTGGCATGCTCCTGATGAGGCAGTGGATGGTGTCCTGGGGAATCTCTTGCCAGACCTGGATCAACACATTGGTAAGCTCCTGGACAGTCTCTGGTGTGGCTGGATGCTGCCGAATACGCTGATACATAATGTCCCAGAGGTGCGCAATGGGGTTCAGGTCCGGAGAACGCGAGGGCCAGTCCACAGCATTGATGCCCTCTTCCTCCAGAAACTGGCTACACACTCTGGCCACATGAGGGCGGGCATTGTCCTGTATCAGAAGAAATCCGGGGCCCACTGCACCGGTGTAGGATGGAACAATAGGTCTGAGGATTTCATCTCTATCTCTGTGCGACCCTCCAGAGATATGTCTCCCCAGACCATAACCGACCGACCACCGAATGATCATGCTGAACGATGTTGCATGCCGCATATCGCTCTCCACGGCGTCTCCAAACTCGGTCATGTATGTCACATGCACTTAAAGTGAACCTGCTTTCATCCGTGAACAGTACTGGGCGCCAGTGGCGACCTTGCCAATTCTGGTGGTCCCTGCTGAAAGCCAGTCGGGCTACACGGTGCTGGGCTGTGAGAACCGGCCCAACCAACGGCCACCTGGCCCTCATGCCACCCTCGTGGAGTCCGTTTCTGACAGTCTGGTCAGAAATGCATACTCCAGTGGCCCGATGAAAGTCTCCTTGAAGGGACCTAGCAGTGCTTCTCCTGGGCTGCATCGCAGATATACGGAGAAATTTGTCCTGCTGTTGGGTGGTGGCCCTTATTCGGCCTTGTCCAGGCCTCCTGGAGTACTCGCCAGTCTCTCGAAAGCGACTTCACGCACGGGAGATGACACTGGGAGACACTCTGAACCTTCTGGCCACCTGACATACAGATGACCCATCCTCCAGCAGCTGAACTGCCTGTGAGACTTCACAAGGCTGGAGGTAATGCATTATGCTTGCAATAGAGTCAAAATGATCAGAAAATCCTCAAACAAGAAAGAAATAACGATTCGGCAAGTCAGGAGCGCAAAATCGTTGTGGCTACCACTAGCTAACTCACTCTAGATTTGGGGGTTGGCTCGCTTTTGACAATCCTGTCTAGATCTTGTTTATTGCAATTGGGTCAAAGGCAGTGAAATTGATTCACAGGTCGCTGAGGTTACAAACTAGCTGGGTGGAAAACTCCACTGCACCAATATATGTCTGTGATAACCCAAAAATAAAGTGTTCCCCTAATTGTTTTGAGTAGTAGTCTATATTTCTAGCTAGCTCAGTAAGACAAAACTGACCAGATCTTACTCAAAAGCTGCTCTCAGTTTCCAATTCAATGTAATCTATTCTTAAGACAAGTGAAATAAACCTATGAGACATTCAATGCACAAAACCCTGAATGCTAAGGTATTGAAAACCAAATAGCATCGATATAAATCTATTTAATAATTGTGTGTCAGGTTTTGCAGCTAAATAATTGCTTCTTATTTTGGTCCACTCCTCCATATCAGAATAGAATCTCCATTATTGTTTAGTTGGGGTGGTTGCCTACAAAGCATTACATAATAATGTGGAGAGTATTCAGCCTGGCATCCTCAAGGCCTGTAGCGATGCAAACCACACACACTCTCTCCTCTCAGGCTCTTGTAGTGCAATGTACACCCATGTTTGTTAACAGCATGCCTTCATATTTATATGCGTATGCTAATGAGCCGCTAATTATCTTTTCTACTGAAGCTAATGGATGAGAATCAGGACTTGTCTCTATTTTTACTCCTCTCCCCTCCTCTCATTTGTCTCCCAACGCCCC